ATGGAACGTTGATGAGGCATTGGACCTCGTGGTTACATATGAACGAGGTGCTGGAACATGGCGATGACGATATGACCGCCACACTTCTTAGTTCCAGGTACTCAGCCTTCAAGCTAACCCCGTACAGTACTTCGGACAAGCCTTTCCCAGCACACCGGATCGCAGTATGGAGTCAGGACTCCGTAGTTCGGCCTAGGCTGGCGCCGGTACTCCATAGTCAGCATGGGTTGGCTTTAACTTAGTATAACTAAGTTACTGCAGTACTGTAGCTAGTCATATTGTTGCGCCTTGCTAAGTTAGTCTGCTGGACAAACATGCCGGGTTCCGATTCTCATTCCCGAATCCACCTCTGTATCCACATACGTTCATCCTCCACTTCCTCATCGAGCCTTCAGGCCCGACAATACGGAGACACATGGAAACGAAGATCAGGAGCATCAGGAGCTGGGAACCCGGTCGATCCTCCTCGGGACCCCGTCGATCGGAATTCCTCCCCCTCCCCCGTGCCACCCGCGCCTCGGCCAGCTTGCGCCGGTCACGCCATTAATGAGAGACCCGTAATTGTGTCGACAAAGATCTCATTTCTCTGAACAAAGTGGTTGATTTTTCCAGAGACTTGGGTCGATCTCCTGTCCTGGATCTTTCTTCTGCGCGCGTGGTGGTTAAGGATCCGGGTGGGGCCGAAAGTTTAGCCTGCGCAAGATGCCCTTGCATTGGCTGGCCCCGGAGTTAATCTCCGTGCGGAGTATAGTTGCAGTCAGCGTGGGCTTTTTGAAGCAGGCCAGAGACACGCTGCAAATACGCTGCGAATACGATGGAGGCAGTTGGGGTAAGCCAGTTAGACTTTCGATGGTGCCGGAGGAGGAAAGTTCGGGGTGCCATTTCCATGGTTGAGTTTCTGCAGTTTAGTTGAACAAGCCGAATGCAAATTGGGTTTCAAGCTATCCATTCTAGGTGAAAGTGGTGCCGAAGATTTCCCGCGCATGGCTTGACATGGGCAACTTCATCGTGGCCGGCATCTTCGTTGGGTCCCGATCAGCTTGATCCGTGCACGGGGGCCTGATGGCTAGTGTTGGGCCGTGTAATCCTGAGGGGTTGCCTTCAGGGAAAAGGCGTCTCACGGGTGGAGACGGAGCATCTTAGCTGGAAAGACTCGGGGGAAGTGACCTAGCTAGAGTAAGTCCTCCGTCGTAGTAAAGATATGTAGCGGATACAGTGGATGGAGTAGACGATAGTCAATGGAGTCAGTCGGTAGTTTTGGCTTGTGCAACCGATTCGCCTCGCTTCTCGGCCGTTGAATTTTGAAAGCCGCTCGTGATTGCCCAGGTTTCGCAACATAAAGGAAAAAAAAAATCAAAAAAAGTATGACATCCGCGTCTCTCATTGGATCGGGGAAATGGCGTGAACGTGAGCAGGTTGGTCGAGATAGAAAAATTATCCTCGGCGTCAGGAGCATAGCAATGGGCTCGACTAAGCCCTCTCCGAAGCTACTCCGTACTTGCAACTGGAACAAGCTCGTAGGGAGAGACTGTGGAGAGCTTCTACAAACCACTCCGAGTCTGATGTATGTACCATCGAACGGCCATCGGAAAGATAGCCGGTGCCTCTGATTGGCAGTCTTCGCGCCATGGTTGGAGGCGCATCTCCCTTTGCCTAGTATGCTCGCAGTATGGACGCCACAATTCCGCAGTTCGTATAGAATGACCAGGGCATCGAGGTAGGGCGAGTCAGTATACTACAAAGCGTTTAACACGATTCCGATCCTGACTGGACTCGAATTCTTTTTCCTCGCTCGGGATTGGTCGGATCATTCTGGATTGAATTTGCTAGGGCAAGTATTCGAGTCAGTTCCCGATCCGTTCCAAGGGGGGTTTGAGATAGATTGGCTGTTGGCAACGACCTCAGTGCCTCGACGGATTTGAGTTTTGACTTTTCTGACAAAGAAACGTGTTAGGGTTTCGCGGTTGACCCGCCGGACGTTTGGAGATTGACGTAGCGGTCTCCAAAATTCCCCCTATGGCCCCGGGACTTGGCGTAGACTCCCGTTCCCAAGAATCATGGTCGAACCCTGGACGAAGGAGAACCATGAGATCTGAACGATTGGGAGAACTACGGAGATAAAGTGGTACACAGAAGTGTGGAGGAGCATACAGCCACTGGGGACTCGGGAGCGCAAAATGGTCGATTGAGCTTTCGAACATTGTTGCTTCATGTCGCACGGTCAATCCCCCGGAATGTTGACAGCTTGTGCACCGCATCGCGCGCCAGGCAACTGAAAGCCGTGCTAGATGCAGGCGCGGAAGCACACCGCATACTCGAAATGATTGGCAGAAAGTTCTTAAGGCACGTGCGAAGCAGGGATGCTATACCGACCGGGATATCCAGGGTGGCCATCTCGGCCGGGTCTTCCGTGGCCTGTGCTTCGTCGCTTTTTGGTCATCCTTGTCAATTAGTTCTGGGCTTCGGAGTAGTAGCTTTTCTTTTGCTTTTCTTTTGTTTCCGTATTCAACTATCATAGCGGTTGAGCCTTTTCTACCTTGCCTCCCCTAACTCCATGATCATGTCTTCAACGAGCATCTCCATTCCGGTGAATCCTCACAAAGCCCGAGGAGACAGACATTGGTGTCGTGTAGGATTTCCGGCCCAGGGTGGCTCTGATGCTCACTGGACCAAAGTGGACTCCACTCCATCCACTATTGAGGACCCGGGAAGATCATGGGCGATCCACAGCCAGATCGATTGGCGCCTTCACGAACGACTGCTCCACGAATCGCGTCATCATTGGTCTCGTCCGTGAGGGGCTTCACACTAGAGCTTGACACCATACCATTTTCGCGTGGCCATATCGAGTGGCTTCGGCCTAGGGCGATACCATTGCTGACTGGAAGGCGGAAACGCCATCAAACATTGACGGCAGAACGCTTGAGGGTAAGACCTGGGCGATAGTACAAAGCTAGACCGAGAGAAGAGACGGCTTGTGAGAGTCACCAAGTCGATGCAAGCTGTTGTAGTGGGCTGTGCTCGTGCCCGGCCGTCTGGTTCACCGTTCATTCGATAGTGTCTGGGGAACGGGAACGAGGATCGGAGCGGCTCTGAAGATCCTCTTTTTTGCCCTCTCCCTCTTGCGACTTGCGATAAACCCAACCCCCCCCCCCCATCATTTCAATAGAGTTACCATAAATCGGCAAATTTTTCCTGGTGCGCATATGGAATCAGGGCGGAATTTCAAAATTTCCAAATCCGACAAGGTTTGAAACGCCCAACGGCTCTGATCATCTTCATTTGAGAAGAATTCCGTAATCGAGTCCACCCAACCACGACACCGCGTGAAAAGCCCGGACCGGTAAAGATCGGCGGATCTTTGGCTTTGGAGAATCCAGGCAGACTAGCATAGCATCACCTTGAGGGGTGGAGACTGGACTGGGAGGGAGATGGGAGAACCAGTATCGTGGGATGAGCAGAGAGCGAATCCGAGCAAGGCCTAGCGTGAGAATTAGCTATGAGGCCCGAAAGGAGGGGGGTGGGAAACAGGCTTATCTGGAACCTCCCGGAGCTTTCCTTGGCCATGTCAATCCATCTCCACAAGGCTAACCAGCTTAGCCTGGGGGCCGGGGCCAATGTAAATCAGTCCCAGGAGTGCGTTTCGCCGCATGACTACTGAGGAGGACCGGGGTGTTATTCCCATCTTGGTACGGTGGGCCGGGTTTCAGGCAAGTCGAGTCACACAGAGAGACCTCCTGCAAATGTATCTCCGAGGACACAGAAAGTGTCGAGTCCCGGATACTAGGAAGGGTAAAAAAATGGTGGAAATTATTATGTGACATTATGGAATTTTGGGAGCCTGGAACTTCTTCCTTCCCTTGGGGTGTTTTGGGTTGGATCTGGGAACCCCCTGGTTCGTTGTCGATAGATCAACCCTATAGTTGGTGATTGCAACTCCAGGCACAGACAAGGAACGAGGCTGTCTCCTGTCATGAAGGGGAGTGTACAATGATGGGACCTGCTTATCCCGCCAGGTGATCTGTCAAATCTGGATCTGGGATCCGCCTGCCAGGTGCACCGCGCTAGATGGGACGGGAGAGACAAGAAAAGGGTGTGGCCCTGTAGTTTCTGTATAGTCGCTGTAGTGCCAGTCGTGATTCCGGGAGGGAGTCGTCCTTTGTTCTGCAATGAACAGCCCATGCGCCAAGCGCTCCATTAGGGATAGTATGTAGAGTGGCCAGCGTTGCCTGCTGGCGATGGCGCGAGATGTCAATGATCCACCGGGTGAGGATCTTCGTCGATCCACATCCACCGAGGTCGGGCACGTCGCGCACCCACGTCAAGCACCGTCATGCTAATCCTGAGATGATCGACCGTGCGTCTTAGTCCTGACGCCACGGAGCCATGGGAAAGCGATTGGAGAGGGGGGGGACTAGGATGGACGTTAAGGACGGACCCGTAGCCATGGGAGATGAAAGAAGACCCCTCCGGAAAAGTGGGGATGTGATCCAGACCCGAACGGGTCAGATTCCAACTTGGGGGCATTGGAAGGCTATAGTGAAGAAATCGGGGGTTTCTGGTTGTAAGAAGTGGAAGGTAAAGTTGCGAAGGAGGAGGATGTCAGGACTTGGAGTCGTCCCGATTCGGAGTGTCCAGTGTATATTCGCGCCTCCCCGGACCCTCTTTTTTAACTCTTTTCCTTTTCTCTCCATCTTCTCTTCCTCTCTCCCTCCTCTCTCTCTCTCCCTTCTACGATTATCCTATTCGATACGGAGAATTGCCCTCCTTTGGTTCGCCTTTTTTTGGGTCCTCCTATCCTTCTTCAATCTCGGCTTTGACAACGGCATCAATCTCCCTACATATACTTACTGTTGATCTCCTGTCGTTTCATCCTTCAAGGCTTCTTTCCTTCAACACCTCTCGCCTAAAGTCCCCTTGCTATTCAATTGCAATAGTCTTCTATTGTTGATTGTATACAGTGCCAACATCTCAAGTCTCCTATCTTGCCAATTCGAAGAATGAAGACCTCTATATCCTCCGATGTCTGGGAGAAGAAGAAAGCGGTCATCGCCAAGTTGTATATGGAGGAGGAATGGCCCCTCAAACAAGTCATCAAAAAGATTCGCTCCGACGACTTCAATCCAAGGTGTGTCTTTTTTTTCTCCCCCTGCTACCACTAGCAACCCATCATCAGACTGCAGCTTGGACACTAACATTACTCTCTGCCAGTGAAACCCAACTGCGCAGTCGCCTGAAGAAATGGCGAGTCACTAAACCATCCCGTCAGACTCGGAAGAAGCCCCAAGGCTCCGAGGACCCTGAATCTGAAAAGGACAACAGGGGCCTCTCGGCATCACCTCGGGACAGCAGAGCCTCCCCAGTGACTCGGAAGCCCTCATCTTCTTCGGCTACCACTCGATCGGATTGGATGGGGCAGTCTCTCTACGCGCCTGCAGAGATCTCACAGCCCGGCAAGTGGAATACTCACGTCGCCCAGCAATTGACTTCCAGCCCATCGGGTGATCATTTTGTCTGCGAGCAGCAACCGGCAAACTACTCCTTCTCTGACTCCGGGTCTACAACCACGTCCTTTGAGCACCCCGCTCAAACATCCCCGGTGGCCGAGAGTCTCATGCTCAACACTACATCCGCAGTGACGCCCACCTATGCGGGATACCCGCTCTCGCCCGAATCATGCATCCCCAGTCCCGGCTCAACGACAACCCCCGCTATGGCACATTGGCCTCCACGTTCGGTCTCTGCCGATATGAGCATCAACCCGGCTTTGCATTCGACTCAATGGTACGGCATGTCTTTGGTACAGATCAATCCACCCTCGGGCGTCCCACACTCCGCACCGCTGGCGCCTCCTCCTCATCCCGCTGGATACGCCGTTCCCCCTGGACCTGGTGTTTTCTCGCCAGAGTTTGCCCCCTATGAGATGCCCGAGTACCATGGCTATGATCCTAAGCAGTGGAAGAGAACCATGTCACTGCAATATGAGTATGCTGGACACCATGGCCGACCGGAGCACGAGAGGAAACACATCAACCACCATGGTAACCCCCCTCACGGAATGGTTCCCTTCCATGCGTCCCAGGCTAGTCCCCACGCAGTGATGTGTGCGCCCATTGTCCCGTACATGGGTTAAAGACCGGCTATTGCTGCAGACGCAAAGACACCTTTGCGTGGGCTACTTTTTTTAACGGACTGCTTGACGTTGTTTCTCCCGTGATACCTCTTTATTTCTCACAACCTGTTCCTTTCCTTCCTCTTGTTTCATATTCCTTTAACCATTTTTCCCCCCCCTTTCTCTCCAATTATCTGAAAATGGGCGGATGATCTGTGTCTTTCTAGATCTCATGTACGACATACTCGGTGTTGAACCCTATGAAGTGGGTTGCTGACGCGATTTGGAATACCCGGTTGATATGTTATCTTTCTGGCGTTGGCATGGGCGTTTTTGGTCTTTTCTTATACCTCTGTTGAATTGATGCAATATTCTACTGATGTACCGTCCATTCCTATCAAAGTACCCTGCAAGCTCATATCTTGCAGTATGCACGCCTAACCAATGAACCTTTTACTTTTCTACATTTTCGGAATTTTTTTGTATATCAAGTCTACCCAAACCTAACGAGAGCAAACCGGCAATGATGGCATACATGAACAGACCAAGGATCGGCTACCAAAGTATCACGAGTGATCAGTGTGGAGCCTCAACCGGTGCAGATCATGCTCGTGGGCATGTCGTCCATACTCTCAACCTCAACGGCCATATTCCCCGTTTGGGAGCTACACGGCTCACTCATCCGAAACCGCCTCTCACGGCCAAACCCCATGATATCGGCATGATCGACATGGGAGCCTACCGACTCCAATTTTAATATTACTCCAACAAGACGTCCGTAGGGTCCTCAACAAAATTTTGATAGTCATATCAACTCCGTCTATCCGAAATATTCGCCCCAGAAAGGACATACTATTCCCTTCGAAACAAGGTACTATATCACTTGCCCGGGGTCTTTACCCGAACCGTTCGATCGCCCGTCAGGATCCACGGATTATTGATCGGGGAGAAGATTAATCCTACCCAATAAGCTTCGTCCGAGATATGTCCAATCCGGTCAATGGAACTACTGCTCTCGTTCCACTTAATTGATGTTGGATCCGTGGCTCGTACCTCAGTTTGCCCGTTCGGTCGGGTTGTGATGATCGACTTGCGGACATGGTTTTGAATCCGCGGAGATATCTGTATACTCTTCATCGATAAGGGTATGGCCTAATTTTGGTGCGAAACGGTTTTGATCGATCTGGAAGGATTGACCTTTGAGCATAGCTTTTGTAGAATGAGTTATACGAAACCGTTACGAACTGGAGAAGACATAATTTTGGGGTTTCATATTAGCCTTACAGTCGCTGCTAACAACGGTTTTACTCCCGACTTTGACCAAGTTTGCCCATCAGTTTATGTAGGCAGACAATAGGTGCAACCTTTACTCTCGAGGCTGTAAGGTGATGCAAGAAATCTTCATTTAAACCAAGTAATATACTTGCGCCCTAGGAAAATCGACCTCGAGCCGACCAAGCTGATACGTTGAACTTGGGCGCGGGTTATCCGGAAAGATACCTCGGCATCTTTTTCCCACGCTACGGCAGTCGAATCGCGCGGGGAAAAAAAGCTGCCCCTAAACTCGAAACTCGGCCTTTCTCTCCACACTTTCATTTCTCGAAATACACGTCCCTTGCACCTGCTTTGCATTTGCCTTGTTTTTTTTTTGGTTATAATAACCCTACAGCTAGCTATACACTTATCGGCTTCATACTACCCTACCCGACACCATGCGTGCCGTTCAAGTCAAAGAATATGTCAAGGTAAGCCCCCCGTTCATGCTTACGCTTACGCTTACCACCTCCAAGCTCCCCTTGACCTTTTCTTTTCTTTCTCTCTCTCTCTTTCACTCCAACCTCGACCCTCACCTCTACTACAAACATCTCCACACAGTTTCAACCACATTACTAACCTCCCTAAACAGGGCCCACTAGACCTCACAGTGACCGAAGTCCAAACCCCGACCCCGTCGGCCGACAACTACCTAATCAAGATCCACTCCGCCGGCACCAACTTCTTCGACATCCTCCAAATCCAAGGCAAATACCAACACCAGCCACCCCTCCCCTGGATCGGCGGGTCCGAATTCGCCGGCACCGTCGCCGCAGTTCCCACCGCCCCCTCCTCGTCGCCTCGCTTCCGCGTCGGCGATCGCGTCTTCGGTGCGACCCAGGGCGCTTATGCCACCCACGTGCTCGCCCCGGAGACCTCCCTCCTCCCCGTGCCGAACGGGTGGAGCTTCGAGGATGCGGCGGGCCTCTTCGTGACCGCGCCGACCTCCTACGGGAGCCTGGTGCATCGGGCCGGTGTGAAGGCGGGCGACTGGGTGCTCGTGCATGCGGCGGCCGGCGGCGTGGGACTGGCCGCTGTGCAAATCGCCAAGGCCAAGGGGGCGACCGTCATTGCGACGGCGGGGACGCAGCGTAAGCGGGAGATTGCGAAGGAATTCGGCGCGGACTATGTTATCGATTATACGGATAAGGCGTGGCCGGAGGAGGTGAAGAAGTTGTGTGCGACGCATCGGCAGGGCAATGGCAAGGCCGGTGTGGATATCGTTTATGATCCCGTTGGCATGATCGAGGCCAGTCTGAAGTGTGTGGCGTGGAATGCGAGGTTGTTGGTGATTGGCTTTGCGGCTGGCAAGATTGAGAAGGTTGCGCTCAATCGGGTGTTGTTGAAGAATGTCAGTCTGGTGGGATTGCACTGGGGACAGTATGCTAAATTTGAGACGGAGACTGTGGGTGAGGTGTGGAAGGGCATCTTTGATCTTGTTGCGCAGGGCAAGTTCAAGGGGACGGCGTTTAGGGATGAGAGTTTTGTTGGACTCGAGAGTGTTCCCAAGGCGTTGCAGGCGCTTGGAGGCCGCGAGACTTGGGGTAAGGTCGTGGTCAATGTGATTGACGAGGAGCAGGCCAAGAGTAAGCTCTAGTGGAGGAGTTGCGTGGATATTAGAGGTTGAGGTTATTACCAGGGTACGGTAGAATCTATCATGCAGCCAATATAACTTGTCACATCGTTCATTGACTTATGATAAAACTATCTGAGGCGGGCCAAGTCATTGGATATCAGATCATACACCACAAGCCCGGGACATTCGATCAGCGAGTCTAGACTAGGTTTGCAGGAGTTTGTTTACAGGCCAAGCCGTGGTGGACAGGCCATGGACTTGTTGTTACCATCTAAGAGTCAGCCTAGAACACTGCACCATCTTGATCGATCGAATAGACATCGTTTGAATTATGAAGTAAGCTTGAAGATGCATTAATCTAGAAATTCAACAACTAGAAACAAAAGATGTAGGTGCGCAAGGAGTCATGCTCTCGTAGAAAAGTGAAACCCTCCGCCAAAGCGAAGAGAAAACTCGAGCAAGTATAACATGAACTATGAAGGCCCTTTGCTTGCTCTAGCAACCCAGTGGTCGAATAGCACAGAAAGAAACCCCCCGAGAGGAGTTCTCTCCGGCTCCCAATTCAGCTCCAGTCGGTCACGGCCACAAAACGCGGCGCTGTGGTGACTGTCCTTCGAAGAAGGGTCCGTAGTGTGCATCCATGAGGACTGGGACAGCTGAATTGAGGGATTGCGGGTGATGAATATTCACGATGTTCATTTTGGGGTTGATATTGGGATCGGATCAGACGGGGGATAGGTCCTTGGATGGGACCATGCGATCGGTACTGGGTGTTAGTGGCTATGGTAGTTCACGGTGTTGTAGCTTGGGCTGAGTAAACGGCATTGCTTGAACCGGCATTGGATTCTGGCATGTCTCCAAGTTGGGACGATGTTGCGTTGAAGCGAATGAGACAAATGGAAAATCCAGTTGAAGTTGAGATGGAACATTTCGCTTATGGCTTAGTCAGCACCGTTAGCCTCAAGGTCGCGACCTCACGGAACCAATCAGGTAGCCCGGTGCTCTATGTGGTAGCTCTACAGTATGTACCTCTGGAATACTTATTCGAAAGACTTGAAATAAGAAGAACTCTATCAATTTCCGAATCTCAATTAAAAGATCCGAAGAACTCGAAGGGTCGTCTAAAGCCCGGCACTTACCAGACAAATTACTCGGTAAACATACTCAACTGTTCAGCAGCCAAGACTCTGCCATCAACATGAGATGTAAACAGTAGACAGCACTTTACTCGATAATATAGTGCAATTTTATAAGAAACCATAGGAAGAGGGGAAAGATGCACCTAAGAGGAGAGCACTCATCGATCTATCTATCTACTTAATAACACAATGGGTGGAGTCAAACAGAATAGATCCAATATCATACAGAAAAAGCACACACATTATTTCCATCCTACAATCTCGAATTTTCAGTAGGAAGGGAATCTACTCCTTGAAAGTAGCCTCGTATCTGAAGAAAGAAAGACCATATTAGCAATCGAAACTTGATCAAGAATCCCACCATACTTCAAGGCTAAAACCTCAGAGTGAAGGGAGACGGGGATAAAAAAGTCACATACCTCTTGCCACGGAATCCCCACACTCCCCAGTTTCCGCACGACACATCATGCGGATCCATATCATTCAGATCCCAGCGCAGACTGCGGAAGACATTCTCACCAGGTTCGAGCAGGATATCGAACTCACCGGCGCACTTCTCGTGCACCCAGTTGATGTCCCGCTCCATATCCCACTGCGTGTAACCCGTGCACAGAATTGGCACCTTGGTCTCCAACAGCTGGGGGAGGGTCTTGGCCCACTCGTGCGACGAGGCCGGGTGGCCTAGACCGGGGTGGAACAGCATAAAGCAGTCAAGATAAGGGTCGAAGGGCTGGAAGTACTGCGCCTCGTACATGGTGTGGAAGTAGTCGACATAGGTGGTGATCTTCATCTGACCGCCCAGACGGTCCTCGACGATGCCGCCGAAGGGGTTAGAGGGTGTGCGCTCGGGGAGCGGGAACTCTGCGTCGCGGTTGGCCATGGCTTCGGGGCCGATGAAGACGAGGTGCAAGAGGGCGCGGGGGAACATGTAGGAGAGCTGGAGCCAGACATCGCGAGGGAGGGAAGACTCGGCGCGGGCACCGAGGATGAAAATGCGGACTGGAGGCGCCTTGAGGCGCAGACCCTTGACGTCGATGTCTTCACCCGTCTTGGGCGGGTGCAGGGAGTAGCGGAGAGCTAGAAGAATTGATCAATTGCTGTCAGTGGGTTGAAGCTTTTTTTGAATGGGCTGGCTCATCCATGGACGTTACGACATACCGCTCAAACTCTTCAAACCCTCGGCCGTCAAACGGTTCTTTCCCCGGACACTGTACGGGCTCAGCTCGTGTAGAACGCTCGCAATGGTCTGCGGATACGTGAGCATGCGGGTAACCTGACGCATCGACCGATCCGAATTGATAGCCTCGAATTCACGGGTGTACATATAGGTATCCCAATTGGTCATGTTGATCACAAAGTTATCATCCTGCACACCGGGGTACGAGAACTCGGGGAAGAACCGCCCAGAGTTCAAGTCATGATCATCTTCATTGATCTGGCGAATCGTATCACAGACTTCGAGATGGGCCTCGAAATCGTCCATCCAGTGACCCTCGGAGCAGTAGATCGGGACGCCGCAATCGGGGCACTCGAAATGCGAGTGAGCCGGCGGCTGGCTGGTCTCGTCGGTGACGGCGGTTTTGCGAGCCTCCGGATCGTGCGGGGAGGAGGGGGCACGGGTCTGTTGGTGACTTGGGTGAGGGCAGAAGGCATTCTGCTTGATGAAGGCGGCGCGCTGGCGAATAGTGGACGAGGGCGAGTTCGAGAAGGAGTGGAAGAGGTTGTTTGGTTTCAGGAGGGCATGCGAGTCGATGGAGGTAGAAGCTGCGCGCTGGGAGAAGGGCTTGGAGGCCGATGCGGATGGCTTTGCAGACTGGGCAGATTTGGTAGACACACCATTACTCTGGTCTGCAGCTTTGAGGCCCAGAGTGCGGTTGTTGCTGCGTTCGGAGCCGAAGCTGCGAGCCCACGACGGGGAGACGGTGCATCGCCGGCGGGAATGAGCCAGGCTCTGCAGGCGAGCTGGAGAACCGGTGGCGCGGACGCCCTGCCGGAGCACCTGAAGGCATTGAGCACAGGTGTATCCTCCTGCCATTGTTGATCTTGGTGGTGAAGGTGAAAACCAGCGGGCTGATCTGGCCGTTTTTCCAGCGGATTGTCTGTAGCACGTGACTGAGATGTGGAGAGTTGCATGATACGGCCGGAGGACGAAGTGTATCATCGAGATCTAGATCGGAATCGAATTACACCGTGAACAAAGGTAGCCAAATATTAAGCACGACAATTTTCATAGCCTAAATAATTCCGGATTGATCATGAAAACTCGGTAATATCGACAAGAACTCGCGTTGCGTCGTGTATGTATTCATGAACGCTACCAAAAAATAAGAGTCTTGTACAGAGATAAGTCGGACTTCACAAAAAAGAGGACCGAAAAAAAAAGAAATTACAACAAGATACGCGGAGAGGTATAAGTCACAAGCGCAGGGATGTCCAGGGGGAACGCAGTAGCCAAATCCCACGACTCAATTAGAAAATATCCTCCGACCTACTCCAATCGTGAGCCTCTCTGCTAGCCCAGTAGTTGCCATTATGAGCCCAGAACTCCTCCCCAGTGATGGGACATCTATCACGGATGAACCACTGGGGCTTATAAATCTCACCACTGGCCTCGCGCTCCCTCCTCTTTGAACGCTGTTTCTCCTCGACGCGGTGCTTCTCTGTAGCAGCTAGGTCATATTCGCCATCTTCCATGGCACGCTGGTCGGGACGGAGTCGAGTATCAGTAGGAGGTAGGTGCTCCCTCAATCCGTTGGGCAAGGCATTCAGAGTAATGACGAAGGGTGTCAGGTTGAAAGGAATGCCCGTTGGGCGGGGGTGTGCCTGCCAGACCAACAGAGTCTTGGCCGACTCGGGATCTTGGCCGGAGACGGGGGCCTCGAAACCAGGGGTGTGGCGAGCGTAGATCTTGTCGTTCCAGCGACCACCAATAGTCCACTGGGGTGAGCCGTTGCGGTCAACGACCTTACCAGAGACCTGGTAGGCTGAGGAAGCCTTCCAACCGCGAGGCTTGAAGTCCAGGTAGCAGACTTCGCCAGTGGTCCAGTTCTTGATCTCCATCAGACCGTAGTTATCAACAGTAGGATTGCCAGTAATAATGCCAATCACAGAAGAGGTGACCTTCTTCCAGGTGTACAGCTCCTCACCGCCGGTAACGGGACGCAACTTAAGGAACCAAGTGCCGAGGAGGTTGATGTCAAAGGACTTTCCGTAGAACTTGGACTTGAGAGAAGACTCGCCCTGTGATGTTGTTAGTCTGGTTCCCATTGGATAGTGACCTTTCGATAGAAACATACCCAGTAATCCCACTTGGGCGACTCGGCCCACGCAGCACCAATTGGCGGGTGATGGCTAACCTGCTCCACGAAGAACCGGTAGCCCTTGTCGGGCCGCACGTACTCAAAAGTCTCACCAAGCAGCGGGTTGAAAGGCTTGGCCACACGCCCGATAGTCGAAGCATACTCACTAGCAGCGTACGAGGCCACATAGACCAGACGTTCCATAGAGTCGGCCCGGTCCGCAGCGATATCAAGGAGGTCGGTATACTCCAGGTCCTCCGCAACACGCTGCAGCAAGGAAGTAGGTTCGTTGAAAGACACCGGCAAGGTCATCTTGGTCATATCTTTTCCAATCATGGATTTCAAAATACCCTGAGAAGAGGTAGGTTAGTGATCGTTCTCAACGATGCAGGTGGTCGGGAATGCTTACCCAGAGACCAATCTTAGGCCTGTCATCATTGTCCATCTTCAGACGTTCGCGCACGGGCTCTTCATAACCCTTGAAAGAAGTTTTCACCACTGCGAGCTTGTTCGCACGAGCCTGAGCACTCTCATCTTGAGGCTCCTCTACTTCTTTGCTCTCTTGGAATTCCTCGACCTCAATCTCACCCGCATCGATAGCATCAAAGAACTCGTCTCCGTCCGATTCAGAGTCGTACAAACTACTAATCTGCGACAGAACCGACGGCTTCCGGGCGAGAGTAGGCTGAATGGGTGCCTGGCCAGCCTGCTCAGCTCTCTCGGTGCTCTCCAACTCCCGACTCTGAGACTCTAGGGTTGCAGAACCATCCATCGGGACACGAGACGGTGGGCCACTCATCGAGCGGCTACTCGCCGTCGCGTTCTCCAAAGCCTCCTTCAGAGCCTTCTTGGTGCGCTTGCGCTTCTCCTCAGACTCGCCCATCCTGGACTGCAATTCCTCATGCTCCTGAGCGACGCGAGCCATGCTTTCTTCCCACATTTGTCGAAGATACTCCTCCCGGTTCAAACGATACTGCCAGTACGAATCGCGATCCCGCGAGATCTTGATGAGATTCTGCACTAGGCCCTTGAGGCTGTTGACGGCAGCTTCATAAGCACCCAGTGCCTGCTCGACTGCCGGGTCTGAGATCGATATTTCGGGGTTCCTGGCCCGTTCGGCCTGTAGAGAAGCGGCCACGCTGGCCAGGAGATCCAACTGGAGCTTGGCAGACTGCGCGGTGATGTTGAGTGCATCCTTGTCTTCATTCGGCGCATCCTCGTGGCTAGAAGCATAATCTTCAAAATCGTCGTCCTCGCCTTCCACGTCGGGGCCACTTGGAGCATGGCTGGTCGCCCGATTCACTTCGTTCGGAGACGTACTCTGGTCGAATGAACCGTAGACAGAGCCATCTTCATCCCCAGGACTGGTTTCAAGAGTAGTGCGCGAAGCATGAGTGCTGATCCGCGTCATACTACCGCCAGGAACGCCTAGAGACGGAGGACGCAAGCCTTTTGTGCTAGGCTTGTGGCTCAGACCGGACTCGGAGGGAGTGCCCGTGGAACGTCCCTCGGTCTGATCGATCTTTGCCTGACGAAGAGCCTCCGCGTTTTGCGAGCGCTGCCTCTCTTCTTCCTTGGCTTCATCCTTGGCCCATTGGATGGCGTTGTTCAATGACCAGAACCAGCGCTTTGCCTCAACGACATGGTTCGCCTTGAGATGATACTTGACGGAGGACTTGCCGTGAATCTCAAAGCGAGTCTTGTCCTGAGCATCCATGCTTAACCGAGCGATTTTCATATTAATAGCTCCACGGCAAGCAGAGCCAATATCATCTGTTTGGAAAAAAGATCAGCCACTGCTCGGATGGAAAACGGCATGCAAGTAAGATGCCAGACCCGTAAACAACTTACCTTGATGCTTATAATAGCTCAATACGCCATCCTCCAGAACAAACCACCGCAACTTATAACCGCTCGTGTAATTGGTCCACTTCTTAAGATAACCCTTCATCTCACGGGCATCCTTACCAGCCAGAGGTGCCTCGCCAATCGAGACACGACCCGACAAGCCCTGCGCATTGCTGTTTCCCAGGATAGCCTTCTCCTGAATACCGCGCTGGGCAATCGCCGCTGCAGGTGACTTCTTCAGCATAGCGCGCGTCTTGTCATCCTTGGTGACATCTTGCGGGAGTTTCCCCTTCTTATCGCGACGGAACGGATCCGCTCCGTGTGTCAAGAGAAGCTCGATAAGCTGGACGTTCTTATTACGAGCTCCCTCGTGAAGCAAGGTACCGCCGGTCTGCGCAGTAGTCCGGTCCGTGACTAGGTCCAGGCTGTTGACATCGATGATCCCCTCGACGCGAGGTTCCTCAAGCAACTGCTCCAGGCTAGTGTAATCGCCCTTGGCGACCAACGCCTGGATCTCCTGTGTCTTGCTGTCGATGAAAAGGGAGCGAGCAAGCTGGAGTTGCTGGAAGATCTCCGGCGTTCGGGCGACATCGAGCGCCGTCTGACCGCGGTAGTTTACGATCGCATCATTGACGGATGGCCGACTCAGCAAGTCCTTGACGAGAGCGACACGGCCAAGCTGTGCAGCTAGATGGAGTGGGGTGTTTCCCTCACGGTCTCGCGCATTGATATCCAAGTCCTCGCTCGAGGACAGCACAAACTCGACGACCTGGGGCTCGGCACACTGCAGGGCCAAGTGGAGGATGGTTGTTCCGTACAAGTTGTGCGCCACTTGAGGATCGCTCGATTCCTTCAGGGCCTTGGAGATGGCAGTAGTATCACCACTCCGCAGGATCTCGAACAGGCGGAAGGTCCGCACCGACTGGTCGAGGGACAAACTGCCACTCTCAGTCAGCGTGACGGAGGGAACTTGTTCCATGGTGTTGGTGTTGGCGTTGGCGCTGGCGTCGACGTCGCCAACGGTACTTGGGTAGCTCGTGTTGGAGGGGATGTGCTCGAGGACGGGTTCGGGAGGAGAGACGGTCTTCTTTCGGCTCAAGCGGCTGCGGCTGGTACTGCGATGATGGAGTCGCGGCGAGCCATTCGATGAGGCAGTTGAACCGTTGTCGGTGCTATCGTCTGTTTCCTTGTCTTCGCCCTTGGACTTGTCGCGATGCAGGAGGGCTAGCGCTATGGCACTGCGGGAGCGCTTGTGCCTGTGAGACGGGGCCATGGTCAGTAAGCTGCTTCACATGTGATAGGCTCGCGATGTGGTTCGCTGGCCGCTGGTCGCTCTTCAAACTAGACTCGAGCTTGGATTTGGAAGTATCCCTGCATGCCAATCTAGTCCTCAACTCGCCATTGTATCGCTCGGGTTTCCAGGCAGGAGTTCAGAGACGCTGTCATGGCGGGGGGAACAGCGAACCATGGGTCGCTGCGTAGAAAGCCCCGAAGTGTTGTCTTGCTTGTGTTGTTGTTTAAGGGGGAGGGAAGACTGGGGGAACATTTGTATAGCTGAACTCACCCTTCAGGTCTGTCGGACATGGTTGAGGGGGTTTTTGCAGGGGCACGAATCGCAGTGAACCCTGAAGCTAGGAAGACAATCGACCGTAGCCCTGACTTGATTAAAGGAGGGGGAGAAAGCGAAAGCCAAAACCAACGCAGCTCCGCCTTGGCACGACGGCGCAGCGCTCTATACTAAAACATGCTCCCGATACCAGAGTTTTACTCCGTAATCGACTTCCTAGTGGCTACGATGGCGTAGTACTTGCAGATTTGCATGGTCGATCTTGATGATCGGAATTTGAAATCGTCATTTCTCTAATAATTGTACAAAGGGAGATAGTAGTGATGTCTAGGTTATCTTCCCACCTCCCAAAGAGAAGACCCAAGGACCGAGTACACACCCCATAGAAGCAGTAAATATTATACAAAGCAGCCTCAATCCACTATACCCATCTTATCTTCTCTCACCACTCACCAACACAACCACACTGCCCAACTGCCGCCGCAAGTCCTCCTTGTTCACATCGTGAGTATCCTCAACCTCGCCCCACATATCCGTCTGCCACTTGACCTCCAAGTTGGCCGCCTCGGTCGCCTCCTCGAGACCGAATTTCTTGGCCGAGTGATTCTGGATGTGCCGGAAGTTCTCACTCCACTCCACCAACAATCGCACAGCGACCAGCAAGCTCTTGGACGCCAGGATGCCTCGCTCCAAGCCCGCCAGATCATGAGCATCCAACTCGGACACCCACGTGCGGATGCTCTCCTTGGTCGCTCGCGGCTGGGAGACGGGGAGGATGCTCTCTGCGTCGAGGATGGGCACAATCTCCAGACCCGGCCAGACCTTTGTAGATAGGAAGCTCATGATGTCCTTTGCGACCCGCATCTGAATCTCGCGGAGACTCTCGGTCTTCTCTTCCTCGCCCATCCGGTCCATCGCGCGGTTCGTACGCTCGGGCTCCCAGCACAGGAGCGTGTCGGTGTCCAGGTACCGCATGGCGGTGTTGGTGATCTGGTCGCGGACGGTGCGTTCGCCCTGGGCATCTTCGCGGGCAATATCGGCGGCGCGGGCAGCGAGAGAGGTCAGGGGGATCAAATGGCTCTTGAGTGCCTGCTGGGCGGAAGTCATGACATCCCATTCAAGGGCGATGGCATGGGCGAGTTGAGGCTTCGTCGGGGGAATCGAGAGGATATCCTTGGAGGGTGTCCGTACGGGACGCTTGTCCAGCAAGACCTGGTATTCACCTATCAAACAAATATATAGAAATGTTAGTCGTCACCTCGTTTTCCTAAACCCCCAAAGTTCGACCGCCATGCGAATAGCACGTCCTAGTCTCGGTCCTGCACATACCGGGCTCTCCGTGAACGTGAACATCCTTCCAGAAGCGCTTCTTCAACACGGAGGGCTTCTTGAATTGTGACAAATCTCGACCCTCCGTCGTCGTCGACTCCGTAGCCGTGTGTGTCTCTGCATTCTCTATAAACTCGGGCGCAGGCGCAGGAGCCTTGGGTGGCGGACCATGAGCCGTGATGGGGTGCGCAACGGCGGCCCTCAAGGGCGAGGAGTGAATGTGGCGGCACGGGAGGGCATTCTGCCTCGTGGCAGCGAGAAGACGTGCCGAAAAGGCAGCACGCGAAAGACTGGCCATTGCTATACTGTCAAGGCTTGAAAGGCGCGAGGTAGTGTGGACGATTCTCGGGGGCGGAGATGGCAAATCGGAACTTTTTGCGGACTCGGCCCGCCGAGAATTGGTCCGCGCTCTTCTCCAGTTTACCGCATTTGCGAAAAGACATGGAACGGATCGCTCGGTATAGTTTGACTACATCTTAGGTTAAGGAGCTGTTTACACCATTATTTTTGCCTATTTTAGAGGCTCTCGGGATAGCTATAGCTCATCGCAATTGACTGGGCAGTGACATTCATTTTTTCTCGGACTTTGGCCAGTGAAAACAGCCCGGCGTCCCGAGACTCCATACGATAGTCCCCATCTATTGTGTAGCCTTAAAGACTTTGAGACTGCAAGGATCTCGCGGGGCTAAGTTCATAATTACATCCATGCAGAGTGTTTTCATAGGCGCGCATGTACGATGACAACATTTTTAGGCAGCCCGTTCAGAGCTGAACTCTCTCCGCGGCATGCTACTGGGTACCTCGCGTCGGGATACCTGGTAAGGAAGTACAAAGAGCGGAGGTCCGTTAAACAGGTATTCCAGCTTATTAGAGACTATTGACAGACTAGATTAAATACTTGTAAGCCCGAGAGAAAATAAAGATCACAAAAAGTGAGAATCAGAGAATCAGATTAACCTCCCACCTCTGCATCTAGATCCTTTCCCTTGCCAAGAGGAATGGGAAAGGGCGAACTCGAGAAAGAACAAAGTTGCAATGCGATCCCTAGAAGTAACAGAAAAGAACAACAACGGAGAGAGAAATGGCTCAGGGGAATCAAATCAGCTGAAGCAGCACATCGAGATGCAGAGCACGCGAGAACAAGTGCAAAACGACGAAACCCGCCCATGCTTTTGTAATTTACACAAGAAGCGAAAAGTAAGGTAGAAAATGGGGAAAGACGAGAGAAAAACACAATTCAGGAAAGAAGAAGCCTTCAAAGTCTCGAGGCTGGCCACCCTTTTTTGTTTTGGAAACCAATCATGCGCAGAGAAGAGGAAGAAGAGGAGTTCGGAGAAATAAAAGGTGCAAGCAACGGTGGGACGACGATCAAGGTCGTACTACCACGCATCAGGGTTCTGTCGGATCTCACAAAACTGGATGTAAGAGGGACGAAGAGAAGCAGGGTCTCTTGTCGGATTGGTAGAGTCGCCCAGTCGCCAGTTTCTAGATTCTCCCAGTGGCCAGGATGGGGATCTTGGGGAGAACTGCAAGAACTGGGGTCCGCGGAGAGTATTCGCTCTCCCTCAATCCATGCAGGGCTGCAAAACAACTTGCAGCCCCAGAATCAGTGTGCAACTGAAGAAAAGAAGAGAAAAAGAGAAGAAAATCACCCAGAAAAAAAGCAGAGCAATCAGGGGAATGAGAAAACAACAAAACAAAATTCCAAGATAAGTGCTGGACGCATCTAGAATCGCGGACCGAGACACAAAACGGAAATTTCAAGTCGGACATGGTCGAAACAATGGTCGTCACGGCATTTCATCGTAAGAGACAAAAAGACAAAGAGCAGGCGGAGTCAGTAACCCTGGAGTACTGTGCCAGTACAAAATGCCAGGATCTAGGGGTGGTAAAAGCAAAGCAGAATAAGTAGCTGCTGCGCGCTGGGCCATGAGCAGCTGGGAGTCCCGTCATGCATGTAACGCGACAAGAGGAAGGACCCAAAGCCTCCAATCTGATCCGAGTCCCCCGAATTCGAGGCGGGGGAAGAGATTTGACGCATGCATGGTCCCCGGCATCCGGAGATGCAGCAGACACATGCCAGCCAGAAGATAGAGGTGGAAAAGAAAGCCGTGAATCCAATCCGGTCTGGTCTGGTCTAGACGGGAAGAGACCGAAGTGGTGGTCTTCTGGCAGACAATCGCGCAAGCGAGGTACTTATTTGGTGAGGTAACTCGGGTAGTAGGGCTGTTTTCTGCGATCGGCATCTGTGAGTTTCTTCATACGCTCGGCGTCGTAATCATCGGCACCATCACGGCTACCCCATGTCGTCTAAGAAGCAATATTAGCACTTGAAGTAACTCGAGAGGTGTGTGTTTTTTTTTTTCGGGAAACACGGAGAAAAGCATCGATGGTCACAACACCGAAAGGTTCAGAGATCCAGCCAATGAAATGACTCGATTGCAGGGTAGAGGGAATAAATGGGCTCGCACGGGAAGCGGGTGGATAAGGCCATCTGCAAGGAGGAGGAGTCGTGATCCAAGCGTCGTTGTGATGCTGGCGAGTCGGAGGGGGAAAAACATGCAAAAGTGAGGGGCTCGGCGAGAGACGCAACACTAAATTGCTCCCCCCATCCATGAACCCGCCAAAGCCACAGAACCAGAGTCCACGACGTCCATGAGAGGGGAAAAAAGCGAAAGCATAATAAAGACCAAAATAAAAACACTTACCACGTTCAAAGTCATAACCGCGTACATCTTAATGGCTCCGTGGAAATATCCGAACAAGACCGACACGGGCAACAGGAACACATCAACGGGATAGCGGATATAGTGTCCCAGCAATTTGATCCACTTGCTCGTGAACATCCACAGATAGAGCGAGGTCATGGCGCGATCGTGTGAGACCTCGCCCCAGCCCACACTAGCCTTGTGGCATAGCCATACGAGGAGCAAGTCGCCGAGTAATGCCGGGGGCGACAAGGTGGTCAAGTGTACCGCATAGGCACTCCATGGCTGGCGACTGTAAGACGGGGTTAGTTGCGGCTGAAAATGATAAAACAAAGAAGGATGGCGAAATAGTCAACAGTGGCGAGATCAACAAAAGTATGGAATCATGCAAAGTTATCAAAACAACACAATCACAAGGGCCCCAAAAAAAACTACCAAAAGGAAATATGAATGGGGTAGAAGGACCGAGGACCAATGCGGTTCCGGACGAGGTTCACGGAGAAATTCCCGGCGCCACCGACGGTACTTTTGTTCGTCTCTGCCCACCTATCGGGCTTGGTGATTGCAGCAGCACACACAAGGATTTCGTTAGGCGTCCTCGGCTGGCAAGGACTCTCTCCGTTGAGGAAAGATAGAAGATCCTCGGGGAAAATCAACCAGAAACCGCGTATAGGTGACCCAAAACTCGCATAGTGTGTAAAGATGGGTAGTTCTCAATTGGGTCAATCCCCAACAAAGAATGATGGCAATCAAAAAAAACAATGCAGATAACAAAAAGAAGGGGTGGGAAACGAGCACCGATGATTCGGTTTTCGTAGGAGAAAATGAAAAAAAGAAGGGTATCACTTACTACCAGATATGCTTCTCGTGGAACATGCTGGTGAGATTGCTGCGCCAGTTGCTGCGGGACCAGCGCGCACATTGTTTCAAGAATTTGGGATTATCCTCCAGCGTAGTGAGCACCTCGGCCTCGGGGTGGTACTGCATATAAGTCTCCCAGCCATGCGAGACCATCCAGCGAGTGATGAAGTTGTCGTCATCGGCATTAAGCTGATACTTCCCCCACCACCACTCTTCGTTAGTGAACGCATAGGTAAAGCCCTCGTCTTGGAGAATCTTGGTGCGATATGCCACAGTACGGCCCGACATGCACGGCAAACCCCCGTCCACATTGGTGGTAGCCCCGCAATCAAAATTGCGTCGTTCCAGGTACAAAGCGCCCAAGAAACCCCAGATGCGCTGGGAGAAAGTTGGCGAGACGGCCCGGCGCAATCGCTGACAGGTCACCACGCCACCGTACCGTTCATCCTTTTCGAAGGGGGCCAGAATCCATGGCAACACGGTCGAGGGCCAGCTCACGTCGTCGTCGACTAGGAGGGTGATGGCGGTGCGGACCTCGGGAATGGCCCGGGTCATTTGGCGGCGCTTGTTGGGGTGGGTGACGGTGAATAGGCGAATTCGAGACTGAGAAGCGGGCATCGCACTCAGCATCTTCTCGGCGCGCTTGCGATTGGCCTCGATGGTGACCAGGAGGATTTCGTAGGGTTGGTTTTCCAGGCATGACCGGATGGTCTCGACCAGTTCCTCGCCGCAGCCCTCTAGCGTGGGGATGATCACCGTCACATCTTGAGAGGTGAGTTTGGGGTTTTCGGGTGGGGGAATTGGCTTAAACGACCAGAACGAGACCAGATTAACCACGAGGCGGAAGTAGCGATAACAACTAAAATTGGCGAAAGTCAGTTTCAAACCCCTCTCGGGACATCATGTCCATAGTTTTCGGATATTGATTATTGACTGACAACAGTGCGACGAAGGCGCGCAAGAATGGAAATGCCATATCGTCTTTTTCAATGGCCACACGCGATTGGTCTCCTTTTCTTCTTGGTGGTTGTTTTTATTGGGGAAATTCCCTTCTTTTTATTGTTTAGGGGGAGGGATTATTGCCTCTCGAGTTCGATTCCACTGGAGATCAAAATCAGCTGATTAGCCGCGACCATTTCTGGGATTTCTTCTATTCGCTATTCTTCTTACCTGGCACCGTGAGTGTCAATTGCGAATCGAATCTCGTGGTTATACCGTTTATCGAGGAGGAGTGGGGAAAGAAGCGGAGGGGGGAGGGGAGGCGAGACAGGCGTGATGGGCTGGTAGGAATCCAAAGAGCGAGGAAGCCACAAACGAATGTCGGGGAAGACACAGCTTCCTCAACCAGCCCAGGCGAATGAAGAGGGGAGAGGAAGTAAGAGAAGAGGGAGAAGGGGAAGAGAAAAGAATAAAGGAGAGGCCGGAATCGTTCGACGGGCGTCGATGGCGAGTAATTTGTAGGCACATGCCTCCGACCATCTTGATACTACTAATGCTCGCAAACACTTGCAAGCAAAAGCCGCAGAAATATAAAAATCAATTTAATCGAAAAAAAAAAAAGGAAAATGTATAAAAAAAGGCCCGAAAGTTCCTAAGCTAACAAAAAATAGAAAAAGGCAAAAAATCAAAACGAACAATGCCCCATAGACGTTTTGAGGGGCCTGCAGGTGTAGTTTTTTGCCTCGTGCGTCAGAGAGTCAGACCCTGGATCTAGATGGAGGCATGTCGAGGGTGGAGAGGGATTGGCGGCGGCCCATGCAGCGCAGTGACATGGAGTGGAGAGGCTAGCGGGGGGCGCGTATTATTTTGTATTTCTTGGATTATGTGTTATTATCTGGAACGGGATTATTATATTTTCTTTTTTTAGGTATAGTTCGCCTATCAGATTATTATCAAGCTTATGGATTCCATACACTTATGGTTCGAGAAG